ATGAAATATAACATGGTCCAGCGCACATGTACATTATTCCAAATCAAAAGAATAATTTGACTCTAGGAAACAGTCTACAAACTGCTAGGAAGTGAGGAATTGATTTAAACCAGTTCTGGATAAAAAGCTCCAACTACCGTTGGTAGGAATGGAAGCAACATTCTCCGTTACTTGGCTGCCAGTTAACTGGCTTGGGAGTTGTCAGTTGGGGAATACATGTGTGTACATCACTTTCTGTATATATGCTAAACATCAGTCCTGTATTCTTTTTAACAAATAAGAAAAACAGATGCTATATACCCAAAGCCTACATAGTTTTAAAGCTTCAACATGGTTTATGCATTCATTTGAATTGTCTGAAAAAATTATTTGACTCTCCCCTCCACTCCCCTTTGAATTCTTGGAAGCAGTACAATGAAATGATTAAAAAGCTTGCATTCTTTTCATACACAGTGAAGTTTTTCCTTGTGCAAATGATTGCATTCCTGTTGCATGTCAGGTTTTCCTAATATATACCCATTTGTATTTGTATTCCTATAAATTGCACACACCAGTTCTTAGGAATTTTCATATAGTATTGCTCAGAGATGTCTAGACCTATATTTCTCTATATTTCTCTATATTTCTCTTTTATTTCTTCCTTGTTCTTATTTCTTCTTGCTATATTTTAATTTGCATTACATTTTACTCTTCTTTTTTAAAAAAATCAATAAAATTGTAGTTTTAAAAAAAGGAAAGAGCATTTAAACAAACACATAACCTGAAAAAAAATATTACCAAAGGAGACTTCACAGACCCTGGCCCAAAGCCTGGCAGTTTTTAGGACTTGTTTAAATCAGATCACTATGTCATTAATAGTTGGGATGCTTATTCCAGAGAGACAGCACTGCAACAAAGAAGACTTCTTTCCTGGGCCTATTTAGATGACACTGTTTAATTAATGGAACTCAAGCATGTCAACTCTAGCTAATTGTTACTGAATGGCAGAAACTACAAAAGACAGATAGCCCCTCAGGTAGCCAGACTCTATCTATGCCATGAAATGGTTTATAGGGAAACTTCTTATTGTGTGGTTAGAAGAAACCCAAAGCCAGTCTAATATGCTTGTCATTTTGAAAGATATATTTCTGAAATTATTTTTGTGTATAGTGTGTACCATTTCCTGTAATCAAAACAATTCATTTGTATCCCTTAGATTAGAGCAATATTAATTTATTTAGTTTTTGAGACAAATGTCATCTGTATTACAAATGGAAGTGAGCATTAAATTAAAAGGAAACCAGAGGAATGCAGCCCATCATATTTAAAATATATTTGTCAATTTAGGGTTCTCAGTTGCTCCTAGATTTGAGGCTTGTGACATTTTTATTTTCTCTTCTACTTTTTAAAATAGCACTAAGTTGACTAATGGATATTTCTAGTAGATTAAAAGCCATCTGGGTTTTTAGTACATTCCAATTGATTCATTAATCTGCAAAATATCATTTACATGAGCCTGTTAGTACTTATCCCATCTGCTATTTTGTTGTTCACTTCTGGGCCTTTGAACAAAACAGAAAATTAAATGTTTTAGGTTATAGTGCTGAGTACTTCCATTTGGAAGGAAGTCTTGTATTTGATCAAGAGTATATGTTTTAACTATAGCACTGTTTCTATTTCTATTTCCATTTTTGTGGTAAGTACCAAATTAAAGGCTCACAAAAAGCTTAATAATGCATAAAAGTCCAATATCTATTCACACGACCATGTTTTAAATGTGAACAAGAACATTTTCATAATTGCCTCTCCAAACCTACATTGAAATCTTCTGGGCAAAAAACCCAATAATATACTTTTAATTGTGCGGCATTCATAAGTCCTAAGAGAGATATTTCATACAGATTTTTCTATCTACAGGCATAAAACGCTGACTCAAAGATGATGCCTTTGAAACTATATTAATGAGAAACAACTAACATTAACAGCAAATTTAACAAATACATTAAGGGCAAATTTCTGTAAAATGAAAACCCTTTTTTTTTCCTTCCAGGATGAGGAAGAACATTCTCTGCCCATTTCTAATGAGCAGTTTATTATTTTTCCTGGGGGAACAGAAGATTGATAGGATATTCTAACTGGTGTCACATTTACTAAATAAGTTCTGCATCTGCATGGTCTGTGCCAAAGAAATCTGCATTTCTTTTCACATTGAATTTATGCATTCTGTATACCTCTTCTAATAAATTTTCTCTGAAACGAGACTTTTGTACGCAATTTTTTAAAGAAAATGATTGAGCCAAGAAATATTTTGAACTATAAGTTAGTAAATTATGTATCTACAGATAATCCTCGATTTACAACAGTTCATTTAATGATCATTCAGATTTATAAGGGCACTGAAAAAAGTGATTTTATGACCATTTTTCACAGTTACGACCTTTGCAGAATCCCTATGATCATATGATCTAAACTCAGATGTTTAGCAACTAGCTCGTATTTATGACAGTCACAGTGTCCTGGGGTCATGTGATCATCCCCTTTTGCGACTTTCTGAAAAGCAAAGTCGAAGTGGAAGCTAGATTCACTTAACAGCCATGTTACTGACTTATCAACGGCAGTGATTCACTTAACAACTAACATATGAAAGGTTGTAAAATGGCACAAAATTCACTTAACAACAGAAATTTTGGGCTCAATTGTGGTCATAAATCAAGAACTACCTGTATTTGAGTGGATTTCTTTCTTATGTATCCCTTTTAAAATGTATAGATGTCATTTTATGTTTTTTAAAAGTTTGAATTTTATAAAAGTAATAAAAGTTGCTAGAACAATAACATAGTCTCCATTATTCTGCTGCGAAAGTCCAGGACAGGGAAAACTCCACCTCCTTCATCTTGGGACTGAGTCTGCCAAGCTGTTTAGACCCGCCTCTGTTGCCATGGTTATCCAGCTTTCGACTCAGTCCCTTGTCGGAGCTGGATGTGTCTGAGCTCTCGCAGAGCATAACTACAAATCCAAGCCTTAATTCAAATTTCTGGTCCCTTTCATCTCTGTTGGACTTTGAATCCTGCTCCTAGGGACCCGGTAGAGCAAACATTGTTAAGAAGAGGGTTGGGAATCTGCTCTCTCCCCCACCTCCACCCCATGAGTGATAGTGAGGTGGTACATTTAGTAATAAATTCTGTAGCAACCTATCCTTGTGTATCAAAAAATTAATACTTTTAGAAAACTGTAGCATTATTGTCAGCTATTAGAAAAGAACAAAACAAAACAGCTGCACATAAATATTTATTTTATTATTTACTGTACAGATACTTAATGGGTTATGTGAAATTGCTGCATGTAAGCTTGCTGTATTTTGAAATGTAATTGTAGGACAAATATTTGACCCAAGAGCCAATAGGAAAAGAAGAAATGCTTTCTAAACCAATCAAAATAAAATCTTTACCATATCTTGGGTTAAAATAACTGGCTGAAGTAATGATGTAATTCTGTAGTTTCGTATTGCATTTTTAACATATATTGAAGGCCATTATTAAGAATATATCCAGATTAATGATATCTGATAGATGTACATATGACACATCTTTCATTCAATTGATGTATGATCCCTAAGTCATGAGCCCTTAAAACAAGAAAAGTAAAATAAAAATGACAGCTTTTTAAAATCCATGTCACATATAAAACCAACATCTCTTTAAGTATTTAATGGGATATAGTTTCATATCAGAATGATTTAGAAAGCCAAATGTATATTTCATTATAATCTCAGCTGTACAAATGCAAGAGCACTTCTTTTAATATTATAAAGGTGCCTGAAACAACGCACAAACCCCACTAGTTTAAAATAAATAAAATAATAATGACAGGGTTCAGCTTACGAGCTTCTCCTTTGTTGCTTTTCCATTAAATGATTGCAGGAGAGATAAATAATACTACTTGTTTATTCCAGACAACAAGATTGGGAAAGCTGCAGGCTTAAATCATGTGTAAAGTTTTGTTGATTCTTTTAATTTTGATCTGTATCATTTATTGTAAAACAATGCCATAATTCTGTTTTAAGACTGTACATAATTTTATCATACATATTTTGAGAAAGGTCAAAAAATCTATTGAAAACAGTGGTTCATTTTAACATTTGCATCATAGCATAACAAACTTCATACTATGTCTTAAAATTATTTTTTCTCAATGTATATCAGATCAATCTGAAATTTTCCAGTCTCTACTAAATTGTAGTTTGACAAATTTAATTAGACTGAAGCATATATAATCACAAGGCAAGATCTGTTTCCATGCTGTGATTAAAAATCATTGTTTGTTCCAGAGCTATTAACTATTTTTTTTTTTGAGATTTAATTGAATTTCCTCAGCTGGGTAACTGAGATGCTACACCAAATGAAAATACTGACTTATTAACACAGAGGATATTGTAATAGCAATATGACTGAGGGATCTCTAATATCTAATTTTGCTATGCTGACATAGCTGTATTTTTCTCTTTGTCATAGAGACTTTTCACATTGCTTCAGAGTCAACTCAAGTTTATTTTTGTACAGTGTTTTATACTGTTGCATATAATTTTATAAATGCATTTTATATAAAAGGAATGCTTAAATATAAATAAACATGTACCTCATTCCAAATATTTAGTGTGATTCATATATAGTTATCATGGTAATCCTTAACCTATAAAGTCAATACTATCATCATATGCATATAGATTGTTGCTCTAAGAGGTAATGGTCAGTCATAACTTCATGGTTTCTGCAAGGTTTTATTTATCAGAACATCCTGTAGCAAATTGTATTGGAATGTTCTACATATATTGTAAGCTTAAACCTTACATGGCTATTCTGTGATAAAGCACTTTGAAGGAGGAAGAGCTAGAAGGAAAATCCAGTCGTCTGAAATCAACCATTGTTTTCGGGTATAATTGATTGATTATATTCCATCAAGTCTTATCAATTCTTAGCAACCACATAGATACTTTCGTTAATGTCCCTAACCTGGTCTTTCAGGGCTTCCAATGATTACTAATAGAGTTTAGGTGATATCAGATAGCCACATGCAAGTATTGAAGTTCAGATCATCTGCCCCATCAGGTATGAGCAAGCGTCTTCTTTATTGAAGTAATTGTATCTGCCATGTGATAAAAAGTATAAACCCATAAAGTGTGGTATAGTGGTTAGGATTTTGAACTAGAAGCAGGGAGTAGTGTAGTGTAACTCCACGCTACCTTACAGGATTTTAAATTTTAGCATAGTTAATTAAAATTGAAACATTATAAACTTCATGCGGCTTTTGAAATCTGGATATAGATCTTACAAATAAACAAAATAATTGTATGTATGTATGTATGTTAAATTTTAAATTCGCTCCAATCTTGTTGTGAACAGGTTGTCTCTATTCTCAGCGAGTCTCAGTATCATTTACAAATCAGTTTAATATTAATGCAGACTGTTTTCTCTTAAAGTTCTTTTATTCTTGTGACCTTCAAGTTACTTCATGCTTATGAAGACACTATATATTGTACTAACATTGCACTAAATATAGTATGCAATACATTAGCTTCAATAGAACAAGGAAGAACAATTTGTTTTCCCTTACTGCCCTCTGTCCCCATGTTCCTTCAGAATCTGTTCTAGAGGATTGGAAGACCTTCTAATGGAAATGTAGAATACTGTGTAACAGTATATTGGATTTTACCTGAATTGTATTAATGTATTCAATGAAAACAAAACTTGGTTTTCAGTTTTTCTTGATTTTCTATTGCAGATACATATGATTACTCAAGAACACTGCAAACATTTGAGTTAGGCAACCTTCTTTGTTAAAAATCTTCATTAGGCAAAGACTTGTAAAACTGCCAAGTGGTTGTCTATAGATATGTACAGTTAATTAAGTATTACATTATTGATCTACCTGTTAGATAGGCTTACTTTTAAATGCTGTTCTTTAGTCATTGTTTGGCTCCAGTATGGTGCCTTGTAAGAGTTTTTATTCTCTTCCCTAGAATGAATAGCATACCATTAACTGTTTTAGCAACACAATAGATGTGTTGCAGTTTGTCTGTTTTAATTCAGTTTGTTCTATTTACACTTCCTTTTGCATTATTTTGGATCCCTGGGTATATTTGTATATCTTGTTCAATCATTAAATAATTCAAAATATCCTCCCCTTTCTTCTGATCTACGCTGCTAATTCATTAGATCACAGTTTCACACTTTCAGGTTCAGGATATTCCACTAAGATTTGTGCAATTTATGTAGTTTGTTCTCTGATCTGCCACATTTGGTCATAATTCTAAACCAGAATTAATATTCTGGCCACCTAGAATATATCAATGTTTTGTTTCTTAGGTTCTAATCACTTACTCTATCAATAAGTTTGCATCCCACCAAGATAGAAATGAAAACCTCATCTTTTCTATTTGTATGGAATCAGTTGCTATATTTATTGGTTACAATAAGTTTTAAACATACTAAAATTGCAACAGGATTGTTGACATTTTATTGCTATAACAGTAATATGGAATAAAAAACAATTTAATCACCAGATAACCAGTACTGCATCTTGTAGTAGCAAATGCCAACGTTGAATAATTCATTGTGTAAAAAAAGTCCTTTTATCAGGCCTCATTCTTTTAAAATCCAGTTTCATTGGGTGGTACTTTGGGAAGGGAAAAATGGCTTCATTTTGTCCACTTCATCCCTGCAATGCCTGCATTATTATATTGATATATCTGTTTTCAGTATTGTTTCATATTATCCCCAAAGCACTCATTTTGTGCAGTAAATACACCCTGTTTTGGCACCTTAATTGAATTGTTCATCATTACTATTTTTCCTCATTACACACAGCTAGTTCTGACCCCATTGTTTTGTGTTGTGATTGGAAGGACCAATCCTGTTAGGAACTTTGAATCTGATGACTGTTAGATCGTGGATTGACGTCAGAACCAGGAAACGTTAATCTGATGGGCAAGCCAGTTAATTAGCACGTTACTGCAAAGAGCTCTGTCTATTTGAATTTCAAAGGGGAGTCCTAACAGTTTTGCTTGCAGTTTTGAATGAGGACGTTACTGCAAAGAGCTCTGTCTGTTTGAATTTCAAAGGGGAGTCCTAACAGTTTTGCCTGCAGTTTTGAATGAGGACGTTACTGCAAAGAGCTCTGTCTGTTTGAATTTCGAAGAGGAGTCCTAACAGTTCCTGTCAGCAGTGATAATAAATATTTTGAATGAGGACACATTTGATTTGCAGGACCGGCCTGAACCTTCAACCTCCTCTGCTTCTCAATCAGGTTATCAGCCGGGAACGGCTGACAATGAGGAACTTATGGAGACTTCAGGTGAAGATAATAATTTAGATGATTGCTGGGTGGATGTCAGAAGCAGGCGTCTCCTTATGAGAAGAAACCAACGGGAGCACAGGAGGAGGGCAGATCAGTAATTAGACTAATTAGCTGCTGCTCTATAAAGGGAGAGAGATGACTTTGCACTTTGTCCGGAACAAAGTGTTTGTTTGCAAGGAGAACCGAAGATTTTGGCTTTGAGGATTTAAACCTGAAATATCTTGTTGGGACTTGGATTTATTTCGTTGGAACTATTAACTTGGACTATCTTGTGGAGGCTATCTACAGCTGTTATCAGTGAAGATTCCTGTTTGCTGCCTTTATTTGCGAGGGCTGCTGCTTTCAGCCTTATCTGTTTATTTTGGAAGGTGGGACATAACAGTTTTGTATCAGTACTTAGGAATATTTTTGCCAGTTTGCATCACTTTAATTTACTCACATTGAATGACACATTCCATTTTGTTGCCCATTCCCTTAATACAGGAACCTTTTTGGAACTCATTGCAGTCCTTTATTATTTTTACAACTGTGAAAAATGTAGGGTGATTTGTAGAGTGATCAGCAAATTTAGCTATTTTGCGAGTCATCCACAATTCCAGATCATATTCAAATATGTTAAAAAGCACCAGTTCCAGGATAGAAACTGGGGAACACCACTAATTATATTCTTCATTGCAGACAAAAAAGTGGCATTAAAAGGCCTGGCAAAAAGCATTTTAAGTTCCCTTCTAAGTTGTGGGAAGGAGAGAGAGCTTGCTTAAACTTGTGTAATTCTCAAAGATTCATTTAAGAATTAAAAAATATTCATCTCATTTTGGAGAAAGCTGAATAGTTCTTAATATCAAATGCATCTTTGTTGGAACAAAGATTCCAACAAGTGTTGCTGATAAAGTGTGGGACAAACTGTTGAAATGTAATCAGAAGGCAACCAGAAAGAAAGGTATTTTAATACAACAGTAATGCAAGACACAAAAGAAACCCCATTGACTGCTGGTGTTTTTATAACAGTTGTATTAGAGTATACACATGTATAAAGTAAAGGAAAATATAAAAAGAGAAAATAAAAAAGTGTAAAGAGGTAGAAGTAAATAAGAAAATAAAAAAAGATATATAAAAGATTACATCTCCTTCTTGTAAAAACAATTTCAGTAACTTAATATCTTCTCTATAGTATTTCAGTAAGTTTTTCCCCCATATCTCATCCCTTATGAATAATCAAATTATAAAAAACTCATTCAGCCATTATCAGCAAAAGTCTATTAAGAGCTACCAAAAAGAGTAATGTATATATTTTAACCTTAAATAAACTTAATTTGTAATCCCAATTTATTATTTTCTCTAAGAAATAAAGCAAAAGTAATCTCTTCCCCACTTATAAACAGATCTTTAAAGCCTCATCATTGAATCTTGCTCCAAAGAAAATGTCTTAATAGCTATCAGAAACTACAATAAATACTGAGTCCACTTTAAATTCCTTCTGTTTGCTGTTCTTGATCATTAATCTTGTCAAGTAATATCCCACAAGTTGCTTTCTTATTTTCTTTTTGTCTCTCCTAGAACAGTTTCATTAGTATAACATATTACCTTTGCAGATCCAAAATAAGATTTTCCAGTGCACTCTTGATTTATTATAGCTCCTTTAATTATTAAGACATCGGTTTCATTTATAAATCTCTTTCCATGTCACTCTTACATTCTAGCATTTTAAAATGTATTTGCAGATCCACAGGACATTTTTCTGTATCACTTTTACAATTTGGTATTTTTTAAAAACCCAAATCCACATTCAAATCAGGCTCTGTTTTGGTCAATAAAACCTATAGTCTTTCTGTCTGCCGCAATTTCTTCTGTAGTCAACTAGAATTGTTCTGTTGTAGTAATGGGTCTCTTTGCCTTTAATTGTAATTCTTAGCTCTCTCTTATTCTGTTAGCCAACCTTCAAAATCTTTTCTTGTCATCTGTTTATTTTCCAATCATGGGAGAATGATTTCATGGGAGGATTTCTTACAATTTATTTCAAAGTCTTCATATTTTCTTTACAAAATTTTAAAACAACCCACAGAAAATATTCTTTTAAGTCCAGCCTCTTAACTTTACAAAATCAGTGTTCTAGTACCCCTCCAAAGAATATATTGCAATAATTCAGCCTTGATCACAATTGTCTCCCTTAGATAGAAATGTACTTGCTTTACCAGCCACTGATAACAATTCTTTGTTGCCAATGTTTTAGAGCGTGTCAGCATTAGTACAAGATCTGGGAAGACCGGTGCAAAGCTATTTCTTAATTACAAGATCAAATTTATCCAGAACAGCCCTGAATCCTGAAGTCTAGTTTCTGTAACTGGTAACTGCAATATTCTATCTGAATCAGTAACTTCTCTGTGTTGTTTATTTCTCCAAATTCAGTGCTTTATAGCTTGGAGGACAAATGAGAGACTAATAGTGGCTAACCCTGTATCGCCAGAAAAGAGGAAGGCTGATGGAGTATTGGTACCTTGGTGGCATAGTGGTTAGAATGTAGCACTGCAGGCTAATTCTGCAGACTAGGCTCAGGATTGACTCACTCTTCCATCCTTCTGAGGTTGGTAAAATGAGGAGCCAGACTGTTGTGGGTAATATGCTGACTCTGTAAGCCAGCTTTCTCTGCTAAACTCTCTATTCATCCAGTAGTGTGCAATGCCGTTGTTTCTGCTTCGTTGGTATAAATGTATGTGTTCCCCGAGGTGGCTGCTCAGTTTGGCAATAGTAAAGA